TTTTCTTATTAACAAAATAAGTTCATTGAATGAATTTGTCTTGTTTTCCAAATACAGGGCCAAAGGAAGGATTTGAAACCATTTAATAGATGGTTCATAATTTCATGAACATTGATGTTTTCTATTACCCATTTTTGCATTAGATAGATAAATTAAAACACTCATATAATGTATTTAGGTTAATGATTTTTACATGATTTTTATTTCAAAAACACGATTCGAATCTTTTTTTTCCTTATCAAATAAAAAATGACAGATTCATATCAACTTTTCAAACAATCGTCAAATTATGTAAAAACTATAACTTTTCTAGTAAATTGTTTTGATTTGTTTATTATTTGAGTTTTTTGAGAAATTTATTTATGATGAAACATAACATTTATAATTTGTCAAAAAAAATCGGAAAAAAGAATGTTGCATGTATAATCTGTAATAATTATCCAAAATTTAATTTCAAATAGAATTTACTAAAAATGTATCCATACTTGATTTTTTTAGTATTCCAATTTTTCAAAATCAAATTAAAACAAGAACAAAACAGATTAATACACAAAAAAAAACCCCCAAAAAAGATGTGGTTTGAGTTCAATTGAACCAACCAACAAGATTCAATGAGAGAATCATTCCTTATATATCAGTTAGTGCAAATAAAAAGTTCCCTTTTTCTAACGGATGGCAAACAAAGTTGATACTAAAATAGTAAATCAACTATCCTCAATTCCATTTTTGACTCTTTAAATAAAGAATAGTTAAATGTTCTTTTTTACAAATTATCAAGTCATTATTTTAATTCAGATAAAAAGAAGCATGACCAATCCCTTGTTAGATAATTAAGTGATTAACATTGATTATAGCTATTCTTAAAAGATATTTTAATTCATAATCCAATAAAATTAAGTTAATAAAAAAATTTTAGTTTAGATTTGACTAGTCAAAATTGTCAGAGGGACCTGTCCCGCTTGAGCCCAAACCTCAACCGGCAACCGAGAATCAAAGCGTGGTTTCAAGGTAATACGACACTGGCTATTGTTTAAGCTAAGACCTAAGCCAAACTTGAGGCCTTAGGCAGGTTTTCACAGTATGCTTTGCCTAACCCAAGCCCTCTTTGAGGAAGTTGGATGGCAAGAAATGACACTGGCACTTAGAAGCAGAAATGTTAATTGCAAGAGATAATGTGTATGTCTAAATGAATAGACACCTTTTATAAAGAGGGAGACTCTCTTTGCATGGGATGGTTCCAAACCCTCTAAAAGTCTCCTGGGTCTAGAAATTCTCTGAGAACAAAGAACAATCATAGTAAGGTTCCAATCCTCTCCCACACCCTGGCACATCCTTGTTTGCCCAAAACCTTTCAGAGACTGTTGTTCTTTAGGTTGCCCAGTGTGCTCTGTTACCTAGCTTGACCGACCTGTTCATATAGCCTGATCTATTTGAGGCTGTAGAATCTTTCAAAAAAGTGTAGTGTTACTAAATTTTTAAGTATCATAATTTCAATTTTATTATTTGATAAAATATTTGAATCTTATAAATAAAGATTAAATGTTTAAATTGTTATCCGCATATGCATTCAAATATCTTAAACGCTACTCATTTAATATTTTTACCAGTTAAATACTCAATTAAAATAAATTCAAAAAAAACTTTTATATATTATTAATGAAAATTAAATTAGTAAATTAATGTAAGTTTATAAAAAGTAAGTTAAAGTTTAAAATACTATTAATAATAATTAATGAATTTTGGTAAGTATTATATTGATTATAAAAATTTAAAAACAAAAAATAGCATATATATAATTAAAACTTAAATGTTAAAATCATAATTTGTAATTACGGATAGTGAGTACCAAAGACTACTATCCAAGCACGTAATGAGTAATAATTGTACTATCTAAATTCTATTCAAACTTAATTATTAAATATAATAACCTTACCCAATCAAATCAAATAATACAAATCAGTCAATTAAAAAGAATTTATTTAACATCCCTATCTGTACATTAATTTAGTCATCAATAGCACCTTGCTTGCTATCCTGGGTCGGGCCAATTACCGTGCAGCCCACTGCTGCCAGGACAGGGACCCAACGATACGGATTGTAACCCTTCTAGGCCTGAACTGGTGTGTGGGCTGTAACAACTAGACCTGTACGGAATCCACATGACATCATCAGACCTTCTTCTTATTGGACCGTGTTCTCCACGCCCTCGAAACTTGCTTATCCAAACTTGTTCTCGCCCTGGATCAGTGCTCCCAGTCAAAACTCAGTCCTCGGCAAAATAATACTACTAACACAAAAATACCAAAAGTAACCCACAAATTAACACACGAAAAAAAGGGGCCTTGATTTATAGACGAGAAAGGAGATATTGCCCAACAAACTAGACCTTTTTTTTTTTGCCTTTTTTCAATCTTTAACCGCTGAAACAGTAAACCATTTCTGCTAGATTATAGCGTTTCAATCCATTATCATCATCTTTTATTGGCTCATCATAATTCCAAGTTGGTCAAAGTGAACTACATATTTGTTCTCTATATAAATCATGGAATTACTATCAGCTTTTGTATTTGATATACTTTCCTAGATTTTCTGGGATTAGAAATTAGTAAGGAAAGTTTTAAAAGAAGGGTTTTAGAGATGGATGGTGATGCTTCTTTGTCTGGCCTTCTTTGCTTAGAAAATGAGACTAGTTTGGAGGAAAAGGAAGGGTTAGTTGATGAGAATTACATTGCTGTATATGATGAAGAGTGTGTGCAGATGTTATTTGATAGAGAAATGAGTCTTGGGTTTAAAAAGAATGAATCCTTGGTGCTTAGTAACTGGCTCAAATATGCTCGTTTGGAAGCTATCGCATGGATTCTCAAAGTTAGTTTCTTTCGAGTTTTGCAATTCCTTTTCCTTTTCCTTGATTGAGCTTACGTTATCAAACTTCCATTGGCATTGATATCCTTTCTTCTTTTTGAGTCAATCCAGACAAGAGCAGTCTTTGGATTTCGGTTCCAAACAGCTTATTTATCTGTCATTTACTTTGATCGATTCCTTTCAAGGAGGACCATTGATGTAAGTTTTTAGTTCTCTTTACATTATCAAAGTTTGTTGCTTGCAAATCATAGTGTCTCTTGTCATTGATTTTCTCTTCTTTTTGCAGAGTGAAAAATCATGGGCAATGCAATTGTTGTCAATGGCGTGTCTCTCATTGGCTGCAAAGATGGAGGAGATAAAAGTTCCTGCACTTTCAGAGTTCCAGGCTGAAGAATGCAACTTTGAAAGCAAAGTGATTCAAAGAATGGAGCTTTTGGTATTGAATACGTTGGAATGGAGGATGAGTTCAATCACTCCATTTGCCTTTCTACATTTCTTCATTGCAAAAATGTGCAAGGAATCTCCACCGGGCCATTTTGTGTCCAAGACTGTACGACTCATTCTGGCTATAATGAGAGGTACTTATCAAACCAATCATGTTCATTTAAATTATATAGAATTTTGAACTGGTTTTAGATTTTGTTCACTGATTAGCTGTATTTTTATGTTTTTCTCTTTGAAAATAGAGATAAACTTAATAGAACATCGACCTTCTGTCGTTGCCGCTGCCGCAACATTGAGGGCATTGGATCAGAGATTAACAAGAAAAGCATTGGAGTGTACAATGAATTCTGTTTCTTACTGTGGATTTCTTGAAATTGTGAGTCAAATTTTGTTCCATTTTTTCTTTTCTTTTATCCTCTATGAGTCAGTTTTTGATATTCAGAAGAGTCAAATAAGTTAAGGGATACTTAATTGACAGACTTTGAATTGATTGGTGGGCTTTTTTTGCTGTCACAGGAAGATGTCTTTACATGCTACAGTTTAATGGAGAAACTTGATATACCAAAATCTGTAAATTCCCCAGACTTATCACCAACACGTTTGAGGGCAATCAATGTTTTAGACGATTCTTCAAGCTCTGCGGCAGTTTGCACCAAGAGAAAGAGGCTTACATTCAATAAAAGTGACAACAGTGGTCATGATATACCTAATGAGAAGCGGCTCTGCTAGAGAACATCTTAGTTTTTGAGTACCATACCGAAATATTTTACCTGTGGCCTGTTACTGATATTTACTGCTCTCTAATGAGTGTGTTTTTTTATTTATCGCTTCATGGACATGATTTCGAGTTGATTGAATATGTCTACTCGAGCAACAAATACTCAGAGAAAGGAGAAACAGAAAAGGAAAAAAAAAGAAAGAAAAATAAAAAAGCAAAGCTTTGGGCAACATATAAAAAAGCAGATTTTTCATGCACCAATGCCACCAAGTGCAGAAAGAGGTCAGACTGGTGGTACTGAAGGCTGCTGGAGAACAGTCAGTTGAAGCTTACTGACCCCCTCTCCGCCCTTTTGTTTTTTTTATTTTTCTTTCTTTCTTTTTGCTCATTCTTTAAATATTTATTTCCATATCTTTTGGCTTTCTTTTAGTATGAGTTTTATATAATGTCTCTGGCAACCCTACATTTTGATGGGATGCTTTGGGAATGCTTTTTCTGGTGTCTTTGAAAAGGCTGATAACAATGTGGAGTGAGAGGGGAAAGGGGGAGCTTTGCTTATTTTGATTTGATGCATCAGTGTTGCATGTTGGCCTATCACCAAGAAAAGGGTGCCCTACTTATATTGTAAAGGTTGTATGTGATTGGATTTGTTTGAATGTTTGGCGATGCCTTTTAAGACGGACCCTCTGCTCTTTACTTATTGTCAAGTGTTTGCCTGCCTACGTTGAGATTCGAGGGTCATGGAACCCTATGCATTGTTTATGGAATCAAGGTCAATTTCTATTTTGATTACAATCTGATGGAACCTACCGTTTTTTTTTCTCCCTTTTTTGCTTGCACTGAGCTA